AGGTCAAGGCGCAACCCGCGTGAGGTACGCCGCAGCGATAGAGCTACCCTAAGTGTTTGTAAGCTTGAGTAATTGCTTCTCGGTTTGGTCCTGTGTGACAGTTGAGTTTCTATGCTTACGAAACGAACTTCAGCAGTCGGAAGTGTTATCGACGACTAGATGATGTCGGCAGATGAGCTAACAAGTTGCTCAATTTGCACTCTTGTCATGAAAGACAAGCCAAAAGATTCTTCACTATTCGTAGGCCTCACAAGCATGCTAATCGGGTCAACTATCGGGCGCTTACAGGACGCGCCGCGGTCACTTATCGGGCCCAATATCGGTTGATACCGGGCAGCTTGCGGCATGGATGATTGGTGGCCGAGCAAGCACCCGCGAACTTCCCGATGCAGTTGTCTGAGTTGCAACTCGGCAACTTCTTCAACTGTGACATCCCAACGCGGCTAATCATGACTATCACAACTGAAATACAAGAAGATCGACATGCAATCAACCCGTAACATTTGTCTTGTAGCGATTGAATCGCAACGATCAAATCGCGTAAACTCTGTCCGAGGCCTTACGTTCACTGCTGTACCGCTGTGCCGCTGCCACTACATGTCACCGCTATTCTGCTGTTGAATGATGGAATGATTAGTACTACAGTCACATTCCTCCAATACGCATTTTCATTCAGCGTTGACAGTGTTGGTGGCCAAAGCTTTACGTTTGAGCTTCGCAAAATTTCGTAACTATCAAATGATAAACATATCGTCATGTGGTTAATGCATAGCAATAGCGTCTTTCAAACTACTCAATTTATCATCTCGAGCAAACAAAATGCAGCTTGTCGCTGTTTCTCCAAATATATTTTAGTCACGAAGTCAGTGCGTAACAAGTTCGCTTATGTAATATGTTGCTGCTCTGGTACTTTCGAAGAGTAGCTAAAGAAACGACCTCAATACTTTTCAAGGAAAATTACTGCGCTTTTTCTTACATGGAAAAATGAGTTTTATTGACAAGAAACACAAATAAGTAGTGGCAGCAGTATTTCAACTTACAAGGGAAACTTCCCAAGTCAGCTCGGCCAACCCGGATGAGTCATATGTGACCGTAACGGGCTTGAAACGCTGATTTCAAATCTGCTTTCCTTTCTTGCTGAACAACTTTTCGAGGGAAGTTATGAGCGTTTAAATGTCTAAATTTGTCATGTTCAAAGTGGCTTAAGATCAGAAAGCTGCAAAACAACACCTAACGGAATTTCATTACCTGTGATCCGTCCTTGTAATCAATATACTTGATACAAAACTGATAAATCACTTTCATATGTTATTGTACAGGTTCCGCCAATTTTAAGCCACTTAAAACATGACAAATTTAGACTTTTAAACGCTCATCTCGGAAAATCGCTCCGCAGAAAAGGAAGGCAGATTTGGGATCAGCGTTTCAAGCCCGTTACGGTGATATATTACTCATCCGGGTTGGCCGAGCTGACTTGGGAACTCTCCTTCGTTAGTACACTGTCACAAGACAGCTGTTTCAACTATCTCCATTAGTTATTATAATTTGATATTATTTTCTGGGATTAATTATTCTACGCATTTTCAGAAAAAATTTGGAAATTCACGCAGTGTTGAAAGAAAATATTATTGGTTGTTATGAAAAATGTCGTATCACAATTTTTACCTCTATGCCCCTAAAGTACCATTCAAACGTAACAAATGGCTTACATGGCAGTATTCAAGATTAAAAGCAGGAAAACCTTCCTCGTCCAATACTGCTTATGATTTGCTGTTATCACCAATAACTCTGTCTTTCGCAGTCGACGCCTGTTTGCTCACTTGTCAAAGTCATGGCAATAAGCTGATATTGTACGCCAAACATTATACCTCGACTCAAGTACACATCATGTTTTTAATCATACTGACAGGTCACCATGTCAGACTCTCCCATTTTTACCCTTATAAAGATGCTGAATGCTGCCCATCAGCGAAATTTTATTTTGTTCTTCAATACTTTTTTTCAATTCACAGTAACTCATTTGCTAAGACACCCAATAGCCGCCGCTTCCGCGGACTATTGGTCCTTTCGTAGATACCTGCTACTGCGTATCGTGCAAAGAGCACTAGGCAGCGGAGACGGCAGCTATCATCGTTTCTCTACCCTCCACTGTTCCAATTTTAAAGACTGCATTATGCAACAAAAACAACTTGCTTTTTGAGCAGATGACGAACAAAACCCGTAAGGAAGGCTTCGGATCACGCCGTTATCCACCGAGGGGGATATGCCTGGAAAATGGCATCTTGGATCTTCGTGAAGTACCGCGCGCGTTGAGAAATGCACATAAATATATCTATATTGGTCACAAGTGACTCGACGTATTTTCATTTGTGTTCGGGTTCCGGGTTCGGACTGGTAAGGGCGAGTATCGGTGCGGTGTCAAGGCTGCCTAATCCATAACTTGCCGTCTTCAAATATGAAAATGCTGATTTTATATTTATTTATTTATTTATTTATGAACTGCATTTGTCAGTGCACCGAAAAAAAAGGAACAAACAGTGAAGTCAAATTTTGCAATGATACATGCTCCCGCGAAAAGAACAATCCAAGATTAATCTATATCTTCCATTGAGCGTGGTACTATTAGCCGAATTTGACAGAAATGAAAGTTATCGCACTGAACACGAATTTACGCTTGTTGTCCCTTGGAAACAAGGTCCAGAAATGTTGATATCTGGCTTTTGAGGTGTTTTCAAGGGGGGACGGAACTTAGGAACCCGAACCTAATGGGGGACGGAACTTAGGAACCCGAGCCTAATTAGCTCGATTCGGGGAGTGCCTGCAGGTTACAGTCATGCTCGCTGGCTCCGATTACTCACTAGAACGTAGCAACAATCTAAGCCCCGCCCCCTTGAGAGCCTGTTTGGAACCTAGCCAAGGAATGCTGAAAATCTCAATTGAATTTCAGGGCTGGCTCTAAGCCAAAAACCTTCAAAGTCATCGTACGAAGGTGAAATTAGGCTCAAACGAAAGAGAAAAACCGTGCCATCATCGTAAAGCAGCTACTGAATTGAACTGATTGAACACAACATTTTCTTGGTTCAAAACATCATTCAAGTGTTAAATTACTGAGAAATTATTCAAAAAACCGTCAAGTTTCAGAAAAAATTTATTTGAGTGCTGAATCCGGGCAAAAGACTAGAATATCATTCGAGAAATGACAGTTCAAAAACTCTCAAGATTGATAGTTATTTAAATGCTGAAATTTAGGCGAAAGACTAGAAAATCAATTGCGAAACGACAGTTTATAAAATTCACAAAAATAAAAGTTTGTTTGTGTGCGTCTGGAAGTCTGGGCAAAAGACTAGAATATCAAGAAATGAAAATCAAGAACTTCTCAGAAGTAATAGTTTTTTTGAGTGCTGAATTTCGAGCAAAACACATCAAGGAATGCCACTCAGTAGTTAAAACTACCACAATTGCCTGAAAATAAAGATTTACAAATTTTTTGAGCCGTGCTCATCAAAAAATAATGTTGTTATGCTCGATTAAGTGTTGAGGTCATTGCTTCCAGCATAATAGCAGGATGTTCTTCGCATATCAGAATCGTCTGTCGTTGACAGACACAGCAGTATCATTAGTGAAGTTCTTGATTTTTCATTTCTTGATATTCTAGTCTTTTGCCCAGATTTCCGCACACAAAGAAACTTTTGTTTTTGAGAATTCTATAAACTGTCGTTTCGCAATTGATTTTCTAGTCCTTCGCCTAAATTTCAGCATTTCAGCAAATAGCTATCAATCTTGAGAAGTTTTTAAACTGCCATTTCTCTAATGTTATTCTAGTTTTTGGCTAGGATTTAGCACTCAAATATTTTTTTTGAAAAACTTGACGGTTTTTTGAATTATTTCTCAGTAATTTAACACTTGAATAAAGTTGTGAACCAAGAAAATGTTGTGTTCAATCAGTTCAAATCAGTAGCTGCTTTATGATGATGGCACGGTTTTTCTCTTTCGTTTGAGCCTAATTTCACCTTCGTGCGATGACTTTGAAGGTTTTTGGCTTAGAGCCAGCCCTGAAATTCAATTGAGATTTTCAGCATTCCTTGGCCAGGTTCCAAACAGGCTCTCAAGGGGGCGGGGCTTAGATTGTTGCTATGTCCTAGTGGGTAATCGGAGCCAGCGAGCATGACTGTAACCTGCAGGCACTCCCCGAATCGAGCTAATTAGGCTCGGGTTCCTAAGTTCCGTCCCCCACTGGGTTCGGGTTCCTAAGTTACCGCACCCGTTTTCAAGTGGCAAATCATGTATCATTTGTGGTTCAAAAATCCAGTTACGAGATCTCGTCCAAAGCGTCCTTCTACGAGTGAACCAATCAACCATTCAAAAACAGTACGCTCTCTTGGTTCAACTTGGAAAATACAGAGTGAGCGTTTTGAGGAGATTTTCTTAGCCACGGATGAATATGTGAGCTGCCGCTTGAGCATTTGTTAGTGTTGTTTAGTGTCCTCGCGATTCAAGATTAACCGATATATACAGTGCTGGACAAAATTATAGGTCTACTCTAGAAAATGCCATAGCTCACTCTGTTATCAACAAAATGTTACAAAATTTAGTACAGCCGTCTGTTTGCCAGCCCACTATCAGTCATCAGAACGGGTTTCGTTTTCGTTTGATTTTTCAAGAAAAAGTATCTACACTTAGTGCCTGAATGTTGACTTTTGAATTGACAAAATGCGAGGGCAGAGAACCTCTTTTGCGTTCGACTGTCGACTGTTGTCACGAATTCCTTAACATAGGAAAATGCGCCCTGCTGCTGAGCGACTCACAAACAATAAGGTGCGTATCATGGGAACTCAATTCCACGTCTTGGTGGATACAAACACTTGATCCAATTGATTCGCTTAATCCACTGCTTCACTATTGGTCAAATCAGCGAAATGACCAGTAGCAAAGTGGGTGAAGTGGATCAACTGGATATGCGTTTTGCCATTAGTCACTTCACTGTTTTGACCAATAGCGGAATGGGTGAAGTGGATCATGCGGACCAAGTGGATCAACAATGGCGCGTGCCATTGCCTTCATTGGTGCTGACCCAGTACAAAATTTTGACCCGCGGTGGGGCAGCGATTTGTCCGCGTAGCACTTTTGCAGCCACAATGGGTTTTTACGCTTGCAGACATCGACCTGCTGATGGTGGAAAGAGATGTAAAGGACGCGGGAAGCAGTGAGGCTTGCAGGGACTTCGCGACAGGTGGCGTGACAGCAACTGAAGGTGACGTCTTCTCAGACCAGCAATACCGCTATCTTCGTTCCGTATCTCGAGTTTCTCGCCTAACTTACTCTTTCACCGTGCTTATCAGTCGATTGATAACCTCTGCTACACCATCGCTTTTTTTGCCAAGTACAGCTGTAAATATCAGTCTAAAAAGTTACTTTCAGGAGTTGTTGAGCAGAAGAGGCGGAAGCTGCTCATGGGGCTCTTCGACACTCCTTATTTGTCTTCTTCACAACTTCAAGGATTCAGTTCATATAAGGTACCAGGTCATGCGACTTTGTGCGTATAAAATTCACAAATTTTTTAAATAGACCAGACTGAAAGTCTATGATTGGTTTCCAGATTCGTGTGGAGGTGTATTGCAGACTTTCCCTGATAACAAAGGTAAACTTGTTAAACCTCCACGTCATTGCATTGCTTTTCGTCCTCTCTCGCTAGCAAAAACCGCCACGCGGTGAGTCGGCAAGACTCCACCTCCACACCAATCTGGAAGCCGATAGATATTAGGTGCATCTGTAATTTTCTGCTCCAACTGAATTTCGGAACTCCACAAGTGTGAACAAGTTAAAACCTGTGTTCACTTTGTATGAAACGAAGAACAAGTCTGGTTTTAGCTCATGCATTTCGACAGGTTTTAGCTGTTATTTCACTCCAATTTATGTTTGAAATCAGATAAATGGGCCTCAACTTGTTCAGCGTGCGTTCACATCTCCTTGAGACTTTTTGATCTGCGAGTCGACAATCTTACTTTGATATTTGATGTGTTGGACATTCGATGCGTGCCTCAAGATCTGCGAGATCTTTTCCATGCTTGTCATTAGTGCGCTCGCATCCACTAGGCTGTGATGTTGACGACTGCAGCCGATAGCCGGTCCGAATAGTGTGCCTTTCGTGAAATAAGTTCATTTCACGTGAATGTGTGGCGAATATCAGGACGTTTCTGGATACGCACGCATATGCCTTCGTGCCTGCTCACATGTGTGTTTCTGGCAAGGATTCGGTTACTCTTATAACACTGCGTTTCACATCTTAACCGAATAGTATGTCGAATATCATGCTGTTTGAGCTTTCTTGTTTTGCTTTTTCATCGCTCTCCCGAAAAGCGTTGATATTAGCCCCCAAACATCCTGAAAATCGCACTAACTTAGTTATTCTTGGATATATGGACATGTAGCATTTTTACTAACTTGTTTGCAGTACTCATGCGTAGATTCGAGCCCCATAGCTGTGTATATCTCACATCCATTTTGGAACTGGATAGTGCAGGTGGGTTGAATCCTTTCATCTTTTCTGCATGGATTATGCATCTATTACTTCCGTTCTTTTCTAGTTTTACCCTCGAAACTGGGCCCCGAATGCGTTGACTCTTTTGGGTTGGGCCTTTGTGATGGGCCTCTTCGTGTTTGAAACTGTTCTCGATTATGATCTCACCGCAAACAATGATGGATCTGAACACCCCATTCCTAACTGGTAGGCGACACCTATTCAAAAAGAAATGTTGTTGACACTTCTGCGCCCATTGTTACTACCACATAGAAAAATAGTAGTGGAGCTAGTAGATTTGTTCATTCTTTTTCGTTTCCATTCTGTCATTAGTTTTGCCCGTGCTTTTAACTTAGACTATGGCCATAATTTATCAGTGTTACTCGTGTTATGCGCAACCGTTTTCATTGCTGTTGAGTAGTGAAATGATCACAAATGAGTCTCATTCTAGAACGCACTCTCTTGGACTGGTGAGTACCACGAGTTACACGGGTAACACTGGAAGTATAGCCAAAGCCTTACAAATTATCTTCCTAAGAGATCGGCCATACGTTGCCAACAACTGTTGCCAGGGTTCCCGGCATTGCTGACGTCGCCGGGGTTGCTGAGGTTCCTTGCTTAGATAGCACGTAATACACAAAGGCTACAGTGATCTCCTACAGCGATCGGCAACCTCAGCAACCCCTGCAATCCTGTCAACAGCTGCCGTTCGCTAAAGGAGAAGAATGCTTACTCCACTTCTCGATTTAAAATCATTTATCTTTGAAATCAACTAATTCAATGTTACATTTTCGTGCTCGGAGTCGTAGTTATCAGGTTTTGGTTGATCGCTGCAATATTCACATGGATTGGTTTCACCCTCGACGGCACAGACGGCAAGCAAGCTAGGCGCATAGGAGCATCAGGACCGACAGGGGAATTGTGTGAGTCCATTATCCATGATGTATTTATGTTATTTATGATTATTGACTTTCAGTCGATCACGGACTTGACTCATGGTCGACTGTCCCGTTTACAATAACAATTTTCTCAGTTTTTGGAAGAGGAGAGTTTAGGTCAGAATGCTTATGTTGCCATCATTATTTGATATAAAAAAAAGTTCTTTAGCCATGGTCCAATACCAAAGTAAGCAATTTAAGAAAAAACAGTAAGAAAAATTAGTTTCAAATCTATACAACACTTTACCAAGAAATTTATTGCATATTGTGATTGGGGTAAGGTGTTTCCATTACTTATTTGAGAGCCGTGATATGGCCATTTGCTTGCAATTGGGGAAATTCTCGCCTATTGGGGTACAGGGTCAATTAACATAATGCAGCTATCGTGGGCCCAGATAGTCCATACAGAAACTAAGTCAGTAGCTTCGACAGTTTGCCATTTGTTAAGTAGATGTTTTTCCAAACGTACTTTTGGTTGCGTTTCCTGGGATGTCGAAAATATGTAAAGGTTTGCGTTCAACTTGCCATTTTCGTACTTTGCTGCTACTTTTTTCGTATTGAAGGGATTTTTTTTGATTATTTCTGTGCAAATGTACGATTTAATAAATGCCTCGTACATGACTCTATCCTAATAGCTTGGGTGCCGCCTCACTCAGTTTTTCAGTTGCTGCATTAAATTGCTGCTCTTGATCTCCGAAGCTCGTGAACCGCACTGTTGTTGCGAGAAAGATAGTGCTCAAATATATTATAGAGTTACGAATGAAGAAAAGAAACATGAAGGCAAAGAAAAGGCTGAATTGTCTAGTAAATTGGCTTATCATCACAAAAATCTGAGTTGCAAGAAAATATCGAGCGCCACAGTACCTGAGAGTGATAAATACTGGGAACACAGTTTGTCCTCAACACTTCTTCATCATATTGAGCTACTTTCAAATATGTGTTGGAGAGTTCACACAATTTCCTAACTATGCGAGAACCCTTGAATAATTTGTTCATCAACAATTTAGCGTCCCGTGTGTCCGCTTACTGGCAGTACTCATAAGCGTGCAGGTTGTCTTTCTAGTCACTCACTGGGAGAAGTACAACACAGGAGTGTTGTTCCTTTCCTGGGGATATGATGCTAGTCAATATGTGAGTTTCACTTCTTCGACTCCCAGTGAGTAGAATAAGCATGAATGTTAATTTCCAGATGCTAACTTTCGTGTATCTTTTCACCTACTTCGTTGGCTACAAATGGTTCAAACGTTACGCGTTCGAGGGTATTACTGTAGCTATGGTTTTCGAATCCAGCTTTTATTGTGCGTTTGATATAATTTTTTCACATGTGACCATAAATTTTTGATTTCAGTAGCTTGCATGGTATCTATATGCATGTCAGCTTATAACATGTGGCATTCCTACTCTATAGAAAAAACTTTCAAGCAGGTGCGTTTTTACTTCGTTTTCTGTCCTTATACATAGTAACATAAGTTTCAATGCATACATCGTTACTTATTCTGCTTGCAAGAGCACAAGTATGTCTTGCCCATGAAATGGAGTGCACGTAGTCTGGGATAAATACAGGCCGATTTGCACGACCGTTGCTGCCAGAGAAAATTTTTGCCTGCTGTCAATTGCTACGCACATCTCCGTTCCTCGTTCCTGTTCCAGCGGTTTCGGGGCGGGTACAAGTACGCTTGAGCGCGGTCTTTGCGGTTGTAGACTTCAGATGGGTGGTTTACAAAGCCATCTTTGTTAGTAATCGTGGTCTTTGCGCTACCTGTAGACTGATGTTACTCAACTCGCCCTTCAAGGAAGGAGCGTGCGTCGGCGTCTGTGGATGTTGTTTTGCATTGAGGTACATTCTATAGTGTGCTCATGGCATCTTCAATGGGAATCGTCGTAGATCCGTCTTTGTCTGCTCAATGACATATTAAGGGCGACCTGACATAGGTTTTTCTGCCATGCTAGGTAGGATTTGACGTCCAAGGCAGTCATTCCCTACTTGACTACTCTGGATTTATTTCGTGAAGAGGGCACTCTGTCAACGACAGCTTTTCATACTTTGTGGGTCGTTGACCGGTTTAGATGATAGACCGCCAGCGACTTCATTCACAGGAGTGGATGTAGCGTGCTCAACTTTTAGCGCTTACCGGGATTGGAGCTTGGAAATTTTGAGTTCTTAGGGATCGGCCATACTGTTCCTGCTATTCCTTCGACTCCTGCGATTCCTGGGAGTTCCGCACAGTTTATACGCCGCTTAAATGAGCGCGTGTTGCGTGTTACGTGTTGTTTTACGCAACACGCGCTCATTTAAGCGGCGTCTGAACTGTGCGGGACTCACAGGAATCGCAGGAATAGCAGGAATAGTATGGCCGATCCCTTATGTTCTATACCAAGGCATACTGGTGTTGACCTCGTCTCCTACTGAAATTCAACTTCGTACTACATATCGAAATGGAAAACCACCTAGAACAACTCAGTTGAAGTCTCGCGCGGCTCGGGAGAATGACAACCCTGGGATATTCATCGTTCGCGGTTCCCCTACATAAGCTCAGTCCAGATCTGTGCTTTGCAGCTTCGATATCAATAACCCGCTTTTCCAGACGTGAAAAGACGTTTGGGCGGGTCTCGAAAGTGGCTGCTGGAGACAGTAATCTAATTGCCGCCGAGATGGGAAGGTGTCCCCACTCACGAGCCATTTGCGCTCCAGTGTGCAGGCATACGCCGTCCGCCCAAATAGCCTTTTCACGTCTTGAAAGGCGGATGATTTATATCCTTTAAAGCTGCAAATCACAGTCTTTGACTTACCTCATCCAGGGGAACCGGAAACGATGAATATCCCAAAGTTTAATTTTGCCTAGCCGCTGCTTAACATCTCATCGTAGCCGAATCCGATTTTTTCAACACAGTGTTTGCGTGATTTCCTCTGTCCATGTCAGCTCCCCCCTCATTCGAGTGACATTCCTTGGGACAGGGTAAGCAAATCTGCGCATCTGACTACCCCACCTTCATCTGATTGATACATCGAGTGATTTGTAGTTTATTCGTAGTCGAATAATTCAATCCAAGTTTCTGCGTGGGCAAGTCAACGTCACAAAATACTGGGCAATGACTGGTCCGATTGAAAAGGGTACGAACGGGTAAGGGTTAAGAATTCAACTTTTCGGCCAGAGTGAATCCTCTGCGCTTGCTAGGGCTTGTCATTTTCCACATAATAAGTCCGGGTATTGACATCGAGTTTTTTTTATGTTTTGCCGCAAGACCTCATACTGTGCTATGTTTGTTTTCGGCAAATTTCGTTTTTTAAAAATAGCTGCAACATAATCTTGCAGCCATCGCTCTATGAGGCTTCTCGTCCAGTTTTCTCAAGCATTGCTTTATTCACGATCTCATTGGCATGGGCTTCGCTTTCTCCAACAGATGTTTGCTCGACGGATCCTCGAGTATTTTTCATGGCTATGGGCACCGTATTCAGTAACATCGCAGTAAGTCCGGCTCTCTTGCTTCTTGGTAAAAAAGAATGCCTATCGCAAATAATTTCTAGCATTTTTGAGTTTAGTGCCGTTTGATCATCGCGCAGATGACTAATCATCGCTGTGAAGTCATGAACATGTTGCTGGTGCTTTACGCATTTTCTGCAGGTCTGTAGTTGTGATTTTCACCCAAACTTAGGAGAGGTTATTGTATTTTTTCCTTTTCAGGACTGGCGATGTTGATGCCTTACATGGAGCTTGTGATTTTGCGACTTATGTGTTTTCTCGTTATTGCACTCCACGTGCATTATGGCATTTGTGTGGTGAGTTGCGACTGGCTTGTAGGACTGTCTTCTTTTTGTCAGATTACCGATAACAAAACTGTAAGGTTCAGTAAGCGTATACTCGTTATGATTGATGCAGAGCGTGAGAAAAAAATTTTTTTGGTGAAGATAGCTGTTCACCATTAATCATTGTCGCTGCATATGATTAATGTATTTTTATCTGTTGTATTTTTACTGATGGTAAGCAGTTTCAGGTTCGCCAACTCTGTGATCACTTTAAAATCTACGCGTTCGACGTCTCCTATCTGCAGAAGCAATCGCAGCAATAAATCACAGAATTTTCAATAATCTCGTGTCCAACACCATCTCAAAACTTGCAATATATGATTCTAAACCGTTGCCCTCCAGGATCTTAATTAATGTACGTAGTACCGCTAGTGTTTTATTGTTGATGATCTTTGCTCAAGGCTGTGCTGGTTGTCTTTCTCCTTTGGACATAGTATTAGATTTCTAATAAATTTTTTGTGTGTTCATTGCCTCTCTAAGTCTGAGCTCATAAAGCTCAACGATAAGGATACAAACACTTTTTCTAGTGCTCTCTGATATTATCATTGAGAAGAAAAGAAAAAGCGGCACCCAGAAAACAAGCTTCATCTTAAAGTTTCATAGGTCATGTCTACGTGAGTCAATGAATAATCTGTCAACCTTCGCTCCAAAGTAGAAATTATGGGGATATATCACTATAGTAGTACATCACTATATCTGGCGATATCAATCGACAGCACTTGTTTGACTCTTTCGAGCCAGATGTAGTTCACTTCATTACGCTGTTCTTACAGATTTCTTACAAAAATCTTGTGGGGGGGGGGGGGTGGACGTCGCAAGATAACTTGAAAAACTATTAGGTTGTCCCAAACGTAAATCTCTTTCATAAAGGAATCACTTATTTTTCCAAAAGAATTAGGGTATTATTTAAGAGCAAAGCAAGCTCTTCAAATTGACAACCAATGACCACTAATCCACCTAAATCATAACATATGTAAAGTTTATAGCTGAACAGTTAAATTCCCTGAGAATCGGATTTCCTGTTCATTATGCAGTAGACATATGAGAGATGAAAATGGCCCGATAAGAGAATGTCGCCTTTTTCGAGATTTCCATTCAGACTCGGTATTTTTCCATCAACAAGGCACATATAGAGGTATAATTTCAGAGTCATACTTACGAAAGCTACAGTATACAACTACAGAGGAGGTAAGGCCGGAGTGCCATTTTTTTATTTTCTCATTTCTATGCACAAAAAAATGTATATAGAAAACGAAACGAGAGAATAGTCCAAAATGCCAGACTCCGCCCGTAGCTCCTCTGCAATTGTATAGTGTAGCTTTCGTGAGTATGTGAGTATGACTCTGAAATCTTACCTCTATATGTGCTCTGGTAATCGAGTAACATCTAGATTAACATAAGGAACCCAAAAAGGTCTGCGTTTATACAAAAAAAGTGACATTCTTGCATTTTCGGACTATTTCTGTAACTATAACTGCTGTATGAAGGACAGTTTGGAGCTTCGTAGAATTTTTTTTTTGGAGAAAAGCTGGTGAGGCCTCATATAATAGGTCGGAAAAATTCTTTCCCTTTTCCAACCCCATAAAATCAGGTGGAACAAAGGACGCAGATGTTCTAAGGACTACCAGACGCAGTTTCTTCCTCTTTTCACCAGTCATGTTTTAATACCATTTGCTTTGATGGTTTCTGAGATAATTGCCGAAATTTCAAACTCATGGTTTTTACCATGCCCAACTTTGGCAATTTTTCTAAATATTCATTATGAACATTTGGAAAAGCTTTGATAGCTATTAGGTAGCGTAAACAATGTGAAATTCAATGCAATTTTCTCGCACCTTCAATCAGCTTCTTAGTGTTTTTAGGATAACTTTTCCAAAGGTCTTCAATTTTGCGAAGTCGCAAAATTCACAAAGGCTCCAAACACTAAAAAATCGTCGGAATTTGATACTAGCACAGTTCGATTATGATTATACATTAACTTCATAAGGCAATAGAGCGTTTGCCGCTTCGAAGTATCAAATCTGGCATTTTGCGGATACAGCCTGGGCGGGTTCAAAATCATGAATTACAATAATTTTATCGCTGAAGACTTCACGAATTGAAACGAGGAGAAAAAGCTGCATCGAATGACATCTCAATTTTGCGCCGTTTTATGTTCTATGGGTCTTAGCATCACCAAAGTGGAATTCGATAGCATCAGAAAAACAGTTTAAAAAATTTTTAAGGCTAGCTATAGACCCCGAAAAATTGCATTACATTGCGCTTTTTCTACTCTGTCTGATTGCTATTGAAGCTTTTCCAAAGGCTAAAAAAGAATAGTGTAAAAAATTGCCAAAATTGGACATGGTAAAAACCATGGGTCCGAAATTTCGGCGATTATCTCAAAAACCACTGGAACAAATGTTCCCAAAAAATGACTAGTGGAAAGAGGAAGAAAAATTGCTTCTGGCAGTTCCTAAGCATTTGCCTGCCTTTATTTCACTTGATTTTATGGCAGTTTGAAAAAACGGAAAGAACTTTTCAGCCGACCTAATATTATTTGAGGTAGTCCTCATCGTGTTGACACTGTATCAAAGTCTGCTGTAGTAACTCCAAATTTTAAATTGGTTATTGATCCTTTCGAAATTAATGTTGACATAGAGTGTTATCTACTTGCCCAGTAACCTTCAACAGTTATTGACATCGTGAGCAAAGTAAACAAAATGACTGTGACAAACAGAATTTGGAAGTTAACGAGTGATCTTGAGAGCAACCCAAAGGCAGCAGGTAATTCCACCTTGAAAGTAGAAAGTATCACCCGTGGACAACAGCAACAAAAACCTGGACTATGTCGCTAGAGAGATTTATGATTAAACTTAATTTGGATGGAATTCTATTAGGAGTGCTTATATTTCAAAGTGCCATGACTTTTGTTATGTGTAGCATTTGTTTATTTCAGTGATGTCAATAAGATTAAGTTGTCAGTTTTTGTCAACAAATGAAAGTTATCAAAAAGGTCATAAGAGGTTATACATCATGTAACTTTTATTGTATGAATAAAATTGTATGTTACACTCAAGATGTTATTATAACGAAATCAGATAGTTGGATGAAAATTCGAGAATTATAAGTGTTGGTGGAGACATTCAGTCAAGTTGAAATTGCATTAATTGGAAAGAGTAGGTCATAAAATTGAAACAAACAGTAAATTCAGATTCTACTAGACCTTCTAGCATTTTTCACGACTGAAATGAGAGAAGGTCTAGGTTTTGTCTTATAGGTTTACCTTCATCAGCTTGTATAATGACGATTTGTCAATAATAGCTTTTACCTCCATTACTATAAAGTGAATTTGATCATCAAAAATCTTTGAATGAAACGATGTTATCAATACTGGAGAATTTTACGGATTTTCAGAAATTTGACAATCTTACACAAACCAACATTGCGGAAGAGTAGAATTTGGCTTTGTTTTTGCATACCGGAGGCAAATGTCCGCCATTTCGTTTGATTTTCAGTTTGTAAATGGTGAAAATGCTCTATCTTCTTTCCAGAGTCTGTTGATGTTTGACATTCACTACACAACGAGAAAACAGTACTCAAGGTACACTCACAATAGCATAAGAATTTCAAAAAAGTCAAAACAAAAGTAGACACTACCGACATGCTGCCTAGACAGGGCTCGGCACGAGGTGGCTTACAAGCAAGCTGGATATCGTTTTTGGGACGAAAAGCAAAGGGGGTTTCGTTTTTGTGACCGAAGAGACACGGAAAATTGGTAAAAGGAAATTTGGTTGAGGGTCAAAGGGGACTTCGTAAAAATTCCCAAAAGTCAAGGGGGACTTCGTTTTTTCCATTTTCATCTAGCCACCTCGTGCCGAGCCCTGTGCCTAGAGCATGAAGTTTCGATCAAATTCATTTTGCTAGTGTTTAAAAACATTCTACTTGGGAAAAAAAAGAACGAATACCACATCTTCACTCATTTGTTCTTCTTTTCATTGAAACTATTGAGTTGGCGCAAAATAATGTCCTATGCTAGATACCAAGGCATGTGAATATAGAAAAATACGTATGGAATACCATTCGATAGAGTGGAGCAAGCTCTAAAAAGTGAACACCAAAGATCTAAATCTTCGGTCCAAGATGAAAATTTGTAAGCGTTTGATTAGTCAAAAGGTCGGATCTTGCCCGCAGAGCTCCTACGAGCTTCACAGTTGGTTATTCAAAGCAGATATAGGGTAAAATTCATGATGCACCTGTAGTAGTTTGCTCGCGCTTGAAAAATCGGAGGAAAAGATATACGAAAAATGGCAAACTCCGCCTCTAACAGTGCAAACTTTCTCCAGCTTAGGTATCGTATTTTACAAGCTTTCGTATGCTCTGAAATCACAGCTCATTATTCTTTAGTTTTACCAGAAAAACGAGTCATCATGAACCCGCGAGCTACGGATATCATTACTGCGCAAACCTTATAAAAGCAGTTGAGTAGAATGTTCCAGAATTTCTTTCTCTCCTGCGAATTCTCCGGGACATTTTTAAGGGGACAGGGGAAAGCTGTGATAACATTCGTAAATCTACATGTGACTGTGTTGCATTCTCGCTTGATTTATAGCGAACAAAACCAGAACATGAGAAACATTTCAAAGAAAGTCCAAAACCATAAACACGTTGTGAAAAATCACTGGTTTCCTTGACCTTCAACTCTTAACATTCGAAAGCCCGAAACTTGCACTATAGCAGATCTCTTTCGAATGGGTGATTTCGATTTTGGAATTAACATCGCCAATAGAGATATGTAAGAACTCAGGAGCTGCCAGTACTCGACTATCAATAACTCTTTTGTCTCAAAGACGTTTGCAAAAAGTCAGGCAATATCTTGATAGATTGGCTGATTTATTTTCAGAGTGGAGAGAATTTCGAACTACCCATGTTTGATTGGATGGAAACTTTCAGCATGATGTTCAATTTCAAACTGACCACCAAATTAGCACAATTCTTCAAGACACCTTCTTGTATGGTGCGGTTTTCAAGTCCGCTGATTTCAACAGATAGCCTTTTGTATGTAAAACAGTTTTAGATGGTGTAAGCAGATCGTTGATGGCTATCGAAAAGACCGCAGTGTTACGGTATACCTATCTTTAGTCAAACTAGAAGTCATGGCTAGACGTGATGTCCTATTTAAAAACAGAAACCCTAATTTTCATTGTTGCAGGTTTGCCAGCTTTCAGAGTGTCTTCTCCAAAGTAAGATTGTAGCATTGGCATGGACCCTTCCTGAAAGGTTTCACCGTAGTTTTACAGTAATGGACAGAGATGTGTACTTGTTTTGTAGTGGAATTCTAAGTCATAGAAAGCTATGTAACACGCTACCTAAAGACAGGCAAAAGCAAAGAATTAAGAGGATTAGTAAAGATCAAACAAAACGAAACAATGCGTATACTTTAAGATTTCCTGCACAACTCGGGACTTCCAAAAATTAATTACTTCC